TAAATGTTTTACAGTTAAAGTAACATCACAAAATTTGATGTGGCATGTCGCATTTAATGTGGCAGAGTTTGTTTTATGAAAAAGTCATATGTAACTTGTGCACATGTGTGCCCTATGCGAAGGCGGGTCACTAAAACTTGCTTTCTACGATTTTCTGGAAGTGATAGTTTGCTGAATACATTGTTTTTAATTTTATAAAGCTTATTATTGGTTTGATTTTTCCAACGCTTCTGTCATTGCTTAAATATTTAATTAGAATTGAATTTTTCTGTTTGTTAAGTACCCCAGTAGCACAAAGATATTGGCCCAATATTCGTAATAATATTGGGCCAATATATCTTTTGTCAGATTTTTTCTAGCTTGGTCCAATATTGAAACCCAACATTGGCCCGAAGTTGTTTGACATTATATAACCGATATTGGAAATCCGCATTGGCCCGAAGTTGTTTTACATTATATTCTAGGAAAGTTGAGGGAGAAATGGAAAGAAAAAAAAAGATAGCCACCTAGTACTTACTTCGTAGTAGGATTTCTAAAATTGATGTCACGATCGTGTCGACAAACTTTTGTTTTCAGGAAATGTTTATAGTAGGTACTCAGGGGCGTAGAAGCGGGGGGGCGGGTGACAATGCCCACCCAAATGATAAGGCGGAGAGGGGGTTACTTGATATAAAATGTACCCTCAAAATTCTTTGAAAAAATCTACCAATAAGACAAGTCGTGTACCGTCTAAGTTATTCTTAAATTCTTAAATGCTAAAATATTTTGTATCGTGTGCTAAAATGATCAGCTTGAGCTTTATTAACGTAATAACGAATTTTATTGATAATACGACAAGAAATCGCATATTACGCTTACGGTAATATGCAAGAATGGCCTTTATTATTTTCACCTATTTGGTGCTAAACAATAAGGATGGTAGTCGGTTGCGCCACCCCCCAACTTAAAACCGTTCCTGCGCCACTAGTGTAGACATATCCTGGAAACAAACGTGTTTCGTTACATATCACTTTTAAAAATCCGAAAGCATCGTTGACTATAGTTAGTGGCCTAAAATAATATGCCAACCTTGGGTAAACATTGGCAAGATATATTAAATTATCATTTTATGCCAATATAGGGCTAACATCGGCTAAGTAAATCCAATATTGGCCCCAGATAAAATATTGGGCATAGACGCGCCCCATATAGGACCAATATTTTGTGCTAATAGGGTAATGTTTAAGTAATAATGAACTACAATTTGTCATTTATTAAAACCAAGAAAAAATTTTAAATATGCGTTCCGCTAATTTCTTTGATAGAGTGTATATAGTTAGATAAATATTAATCGCAACGACCTGTAAACTTATTATTTTTATTGAGATCTATCGACATTTTATTACTTTTCACCTGCTCAAATAATGTTATTATCTTCAGCCACAAAACGCATGATGATAGTAATATTGGAAAATTTTATTACACTTAATAACACAAATGACATCGATACCCTATTGAAAAAAAGGACCATAAATTCCGAAAACGGCCCACCAAAATTCATTCTACTTATGTTTAAATTGTCTCCCAAAGTGGCAGATAATTAGTTATCGTGAACGAGAAATTCGTAGATAATTTCATTGGTATTTTTCTCAGGGTAACGGTCTATACCTGGGACCACCAAAAATACAAATAAATACCTCTTCAACATTTTTTGTTCAATATCGAACGCGCATCAATGTATAAAACGAGCTATAAAGAAAAAAGTGAAGGTCGTAGAAAAAAAATGTTGATATATTCGGAAACAGCGACCTTCAATTAACTAAAATAAACAGATTTTGTCATAAAATTATTAAAAATAAATAATCAATTTAAGGAGATGTGAAAAAAAGTTCGTCGTCTTATTCACTGTTGGGGTCTCCGACATAAATATGTAAAAACATATTGTTTTGGTTTGAACACATAAAAATAGTTAATGTCATTCAAAAGAGCGTATTTTTGTTGGTATACCCTGATAATTTTGTAAAAATATTTAGACTTTTGTAGAAGTTGAACACGTTTTTTGTATGAAATTTGGGGTATTTTTAAACTTTTACACCTAATATTTCTAAACTCTATAACTTCTACATTTTAAGTATAATTTTAATAATATTTAGAGAAGTACTAATATAACTAGGCCGTTTTAAATGGAGTCTACAAAATTGTCGTATTTCTTTCGGTATACCCTGGAAATTTCATCACCATATTGCCAATTTTAAAGCTCAGTTCTCAGTCAATTTTTCTATTAATCAATAAATTTTGCCAAAAATTTGATAGTTTTATGGCTTTAATTATGTTAAACAAATTGGTATATTTTTGACGGTATACCCTAAAAATATGGTCAAATTTTTGCTTGCAACATTTTCGTTTGGTTAAAAAAGCAATTTTGTAAAATTTTCAGGGTACTTATACTAAAAATAATGGTCTTTTACGTGGTGTTTATAATTTTTGAAAATGTTGTCACCCCCCTCGTATAAACAAGGTAGGTAGCAGCTTTAGTGGTGGATTTTGGCTACATCATGTAGCGGCTCTGTTTAAAAAGCTCGTGGGGGCTTGGAGGAGTGCAAGGGGGGTGTGCTGTCACTAGCACTAGGACCAATTAGGACTTTGAGTGCGCTTTTTTAACGAGTTCAAATATAATGACACGGCCCGGGCCGCACCGGATACCCATTGTGGCCGGCCCACTATGCCGCACTCTGCGCAGAGGACCTCTCTTTGTTTTTACCACCCATACACAAAAAATGTCTTTTAGCGAGTACGACAGGTTATAACAAGACTTAATTGAGAAGGTTTTGCTGATAGATGTTATGGGTTCTTTAAAGTGGACTAAGATGTTTGTAGTATTTTTTTACTTCTTTTAAATTGTTATTTCTGTTTTTTGTTATTTTTTACGATAAAAATTGTTTACTGTTTTTTAATTCTATACAAACTATAAAAATCAAAAACAATTTTTGAGTATTAATAAATTTAAAAAATTACCTGAAATATAAAAAAATAAATAAATTAATTAAAATTAATATCTGGTATAAAGGAAAAAATGTATAAAATGAAAATAAATCGCCCCAGAACAATTTTTTTAATGGTTTAAAATTTTTGTTTAATTTTCTATTTTCACTATTTTATGACCAATTTTGATGAAAGGCCAAAAAATATTTAAAAAACAATTTAATTATTCATAAAAAGGTTTAAAAATCAAAAAAAAAACCGAAACAAAATATTTAAAAAAGTCAAAAATAAGTATATTTTTTTTAAATTGTTTAATTAAAAAAAATCAAATATTTTGGCACGCCACTGCAAAGTATGCATTCATTTACCTGGACGTTTCGCTAAATAATCCCTTTGTTAAAAATTATCCTCAGCTACTTAAAAAGCAGAATAACATTACTTAAGTTGTTCATGTCAAAACACCACCCGAAATGGCCACAATGCCTTTTATATTAACCCCCCCCCAACCCTAGTGTAAAGGGTAAAAGTAAATATTTGTACAGAAACAAAAACAATTATTTCAATTTTCTGCGACACGCAGTCTGTATAACAAATGTTTTTTTAACAAAATGTAAAAATTATAGAGCTTTAAAAAAAGTTGGAAAATGCGATTTCTGTTAACTTATGTACATAAAAAATAAATAATTTAAATTTTAAATCCTTTCCAGAGACTGTCTGTATAAAAAACAAGAAATAATAGTATTTGCACAAATAATCAAATTTAAAAATGACGCAATCGCCAGGTGTGTAAAAATTTTGCCTGATGTATTCAGAATCGAAAACTCAAGTTTTAAAAAGCATGATCTATTGTACGAGATGATAAAAATGTTAAAATTTACATAAGGCCATAAAATATGCCATGACAAATTTAAGATTCGCACCTGCTACCTGATTTTATAAAAAATATATTAATAATTTTAATTTTGAAATTTTGCATTTTTATTTATTTAGAAAACACAAGTTTTTCAGCTTTAATCACTGCCTAATTTTAGATGTTAGTCATGAGTTAGTTTTTTTAATTAATGCATTTTGGATGAGCGCAATTATGATAGTATAACCTAAGAGGATCAATAAAATGAAGGCATTTAAAAAAAATGTATTGGCGATTTTATTTTCTATAGAAAATGATTTCTGCTGTGTTTGTTGCTTTCTATAGAGATTATAACTAAGCCATAGAAGGGGTTATGGATATTTTTTAATAAAACGAATAGATTTAAGATAAAATATTTTAATAATATATATTTATTTACAGTTTTGTACAAAAATATTTTACGCGATTATTGGCCTATGTAATTTTTACATGTTTCTTATGTACAATATGCACATGAATTTCTTTAAAAAATAGTTAATAAATATTCCTTATCCAGGTACAATTATATTACACATGACTCTGTCGTTGACAATTTTTTTTAACATAAATGACGTACAAGTTTAAAAAAAATAAAACAACTTCCGACCAAACAAATAAAGTAATTCAAAATAAAACAAATAAATATATTGGCACCAATAAAATAATATTATTTACCACACCTAAACAAGTATAATGTAACGGGTCGGTATATTTTAGATTCAATTTTTAAGTCACTGCTGTTGCTAGGCAACTAAAACAGGTTGTCCACCTAATAAAAATTTACACTGACCGACAAAAATACATTTTTGATTTTTTTTCGAATAAGCGTTATTTAAGGTATATTGAACATTCTATTTAAATGTTTTGTTGATAATATAGAGTTTAGTTTTTTTATTATTTTGAGGGTATACCGACAAAATAACGTAATTTTTGATAATTTTATAAAAGAAATGTAGTTTAATAATTGGAAAATTTCATAAAAATTTCACAGCTTTTGTAGATGTTAAAGAACTTTTAAAAAATTGACACGTTAAATTTCAAAGTATAGAATCTAAAAAACACTTTTTAAAATACATTGCGACCAAACTCAAACCACAAAATTAACAAATTAACTATATACAATATATACAAAACGTGGTTCAAACAGGGTCGCCATCTTAATAAACTTGTACGTCTTTAAACGAACGACTTTCTCAAAAATAATTAATTAAATTAAAATTACAATCACAGATGATTCTCGCAAACCGCGCGCTGCACAGGAAATGCGACGAAAAAAAATAGTCTATAGTTCACTGGGGATATAAACTAGTACTACTACTAGTACGAGCCTCTAGGGTTAACATCACAGACTTGGTATATAATGTCAGTGTAATTCGCAAAGTGCGCGAATTACACTGAAAAAAAGAGCGTTGGAAGGCGAACTACCGGCAGCCGCAACCAATCACGACCATCTCCTTGTAGTTTTTGAGGACCACCTTGGAGTCGTCGTCCAGATAGAGCATGGAGATGGCGTTGAGCTGCGTGGGCACGCAGCACGCTTTCGGGACCTGCGTCGGCCTCATCGAGTTGAAGAGGGTTTGGACTATGGCGTGATTGGTCGCGTTGAGGTGGTCTGGAAGAGGAAACTCGCACTGTCCCTGGCAGAAGTACGCGTCGTAGCCGGGTGGCGCTACAATCCAGTCGTTCCACCCGACGGAGGTGAAGTTGACGTACATCTTGTGCCTCTTGCATGGGGATGGTTTTCCCTTTTTCGTTGCTCTTTTCCGGCGTAGGTTCGTCATGTCTTTTTTCGTCGCTGGTTTGTTTTTACCGTCGTCTGTGTATGTGTACAGAATCGGTTGCGTGGCTCTCCAGTCGTCTTCGTCATCGGTTGCGTGCCTCTTCAACCTGACGTGTCGGTTTGACTTCTTCGTATTTTTTCCTGTGATTGTGATCAACACGCCGTGATTGTTTTTTGGTTCTTCAAACCACCGCTCCACCGCTGGCAGCACATCGACACTAATAGGTTCGTTTTTGTGGGTATCAACCACTTTACTGTCTATAACCCTAATAATAGGGTCTTGTTTTCCCTTGATCCCCGGTTGCACTATGTCACTGACCAACACACGTTGATACCTTTCTTCCTTTGGAAGATGTTTCAAACTAATTCGCTTGAGGATCACTTCGGCGGCTTTCAGCTTTTCTTCTTTTGGAACATTCTCCACGTTGAATTTTAGACGGAATTTGTGATGCCCTGCGAAACGCTTGTCGATTGAAGATTCTGCAAGAAAAAGTAAGAAATTAGTAATGTAGTAATGTTATTTAATTAACTTTACTATGTCCCACTTTCGCCTACCGCGCGGATTTGTATGCCTTTAAATCAAACCCATACAGTACAGCAGAAAACTTTTGCTAGTTTTGATGACAAATTTTTTATGACTGTTTTTTTTTGGTATGTTTTTTGGAATTATTTTTTATTTAAAGTGATTTTTTGCTTATAATTCCGTTTTCTACCGCACTAAAGTAGGGCGTGTTAAGACCGAAGGCCTGGTATAACACCTGATATCAAAGAATTTCAACAACATTGAAAAATAAAAAACCCGTAAATAACTACAAATTAAATCCGTTTTTAACATTATTTCGTTAAAGATTGAACTTTTTAGGGTATACCAATAAAAGTACGATTCTTTCATTTATGTTTTTAATTACAGGGTTTTTCGCTGTTTTGTATGCCGACAAAAATTTAGTTTTTGAAAAAATAAGAGTTTTATTAGTATGAAATTAAAATTTCATCAAAATTTGATTTAAAAACAAATTACAGAAATTTTAATTTTTATTTATCATTTAAAAAAACAGCTCGTTTTTATAAGTAGTATATCCCTTACAGAGAATTTAAGTTTTTTGCGTTTTTTTGATATTTAACCCTCTAAAAATGAATTAGTCAAAAATGACTAATTTAATAGTTATTAGTGGCTGCTTTTTCACTTGTACCATGGTTAACCATGGTATGCCAAAATTTAACAGCCAATATTTGTATAAAATTTTCCCCTGAATTTGAAAATGTCGTCAAAAGTTAAAAAAGTAGAACAGTTTTTGAGATCAAGTCAATTTTCCATTTAATATGGAATTGACTATATCTCAAAAACTGCTTCACTTTAATAATTTTTGACGGATTCGGATTCAGGGGACAATTTTGAATAAGAATTGGCAGTTAAATTTTGGGATACCATGGTATTCCATGGTTAACCATGGTACAAGTGAAAAAGCAGCCACTAATAACTATTAAATTAGTCATTTTTGACTAATTTATTTTTAGAGAAAACGTAACGACAAAAATACGACCCTAAAAACTTTATCAAAATTGCTTTATTTTTGTAAAAGATTATTTAGGTATTAAAGCCACGTTACTTAAATGGGATTTTAGGGTATACAGACAGTAAAACATATAACATAAAACGTATTTTATCTTATTTTGTGAAAGCTATAGCTTTAAAGTCAACAATGCAAAAAAATAGCTTTAAATCCATATAAAAAATGTAATTTTGATGAGTTTACTAAAATGAATACGCAACATTTGTGTGGCTCAGTATATATCACACTTAATGGCACGCACAAAACTTTATTCATTCCTAAAACTCTTAGGGGTTAATCGCTCCCAATAAAAAGGATTACCCTCCATTGAAATACAAAGGGTAGCAATATTTAAACCGCAATATTAATCCCTTAAATTCTTTGAAAAATATTTAGGTTATTAACTACTTCTCGAATTTTATTTAGCTGTATGCACGAAGATATCTTCAATATTTTTTAGGGTTTTATTGTTGTCGGGTATATAATAATAATAAAAACATAAAAAGGTGCTAAGTAGTCTGTCGCTACGGAGACAAAATTATAAAAGTAACGTGCATAACGAAATGCGCAAAACATCGCATTTAGCGTGTTCACAATTGCGATGGTATTATTTCAAAAAATAATCTTTTATGAATGCACCCTGAAACTTTTATTAAAATCGCAATATTTTTGTGGAAGCTACAAAGTTTTAAAGTCAATGATACTAAAAATGTATTGATTTAAATCCTGACAACTTTTACAATAATACTAACATTTTAATGACATTTTAAGAGCTCAGTAAAGCAAAAACACTATTTTTTATTGTGTCGACAGAATTGTCGTATTTTTGTTGGCATACAATAAAAATTGTATAAAAAGTTCTGTAAATTTTGGTGAAAATTTCCGGGTATATTAACAAAAGTGCTCTCTTGCGTATTAGTATCAAAGAAAATGTCGTATTTTAATCGATATACCCCAAAAAAATATATAAATTGGGTGGATGGCAGAGCTCTGATTTTAAAGTAACTTTCTTAACAGTATCGCGATTTTTTTTTTAAATCTATGGTGGTGTTATCGAAATTGTCGTATTTGGTATAAGTACGCCGGAAGTTTAATCAAAGTTCTAATAGGTGGGTAAGAAAATATGCATCGAGGCCAGTTCTGTAACTTCTTTAAAAATAAAGCAATTTTGATTATTTTTAGTGGTAAGTACATACCGGCATGCGCAAAACTTCGCACCGTGTTGGCGTTTTGCGTGTGCATCCCCTTTTTGGGAATATTCGTCGTGTCCAGGGGGTGCCCCATTTGTTGCTCGTACAGGTCCAGCATCTCCTGGGGGATGAAGATTTTGCTGCGGTCTAGGTTCGGCCGCCCCTTGAAGCCGAACATCGTCATCAGACTGGCTTCAACCTGCTTCATGGCTTCTGGAGGCAGGTCGTTTGAAATCTCTATTGTTTCAGTGTCTTCGCTTTTTGTTTGGGCCAGAAGAACCAGCCAAAGTATGGTTGACAGCCTCATTTTGAGGAAACCTGTAAAAAAAGAACAATTTCTGATGAAAAGTTCAAGGTGTTGGATGTAAAAATAAACATAATTACGAGATGTAAAAATAAAAACATGAATTATTCTTAGAACGAACGAACACCTGTAAATTCTCTACATACTTAATAATAATAATTATATAATGAATAAAAATATCCAATTGATTGAATGTTTTTTTTAGAAAACTTTCACACATTAAAAAAGCCAGTTCTCGTTAAGCAATTGTATGTATACCTATTCATAAATTATTTATTCTTTTAGTTCGGGTGTGTTTGATAGCCTAGATAAATCGATTAAAATAAACTATTTATTTAAGGCTAACTTTTCGATTCTTTGTACTGAGAAACGGTTACAACCTTGTTATTGTAAATAATATTGTCGATTATTAATATTATTAGAAGGAAACTTACTCGCGAAGGTTACTCTAACTCGTTGGAAGCTTAGAAGATTAAATCAATTAATAATGCACACCCATAAATTCAATCTAATTCAATTATTTTTATGCACTTCCGTAACTGTTTACATTCTATAATGTTATTTCAATAATAATTTTAATATTTAACAAAAAAAACAGGGTAAAGACGATTTAATAGAGCCTAATTGTGTAGGTATACAGTGATTTTTTCGTAAAAATCTTTCAGGGAATTAAAGCTATATAATTAGTAGGATTTTAGGGTGTCCCGACAAAAATACCACAATTTAGATTAATGATATTTAAAGAATATTCTTTCATGAATAAACCCTGAAAATTTCATTCAAATCGCATTATTTTAGTGTGAGCTACAGAACTTTTAAAGTCAACGGTATAAAAATATATGTATATCGTTAAATCCTGAAAATTTTAAAGCTATATACATATATAATACTGCGATTTTAATGAAATGCTTTGTTATAGTGTTTACAGAATTGTCGTATTTTTGTTGGTATGCCCTAAACAATTTATTAAAAGTTACAGCACTGTAACTTCTAAAAAAAAATTCAGATTATACCATGAAAATACTGTTTCTCCTTGGTGTTAATGAAAATGTCATATTCTTTTACCCTAAAAATCCATCTAAATTAGGTTGGGTTTGTTCAACTAACAATACTTAAGTAACTCTTCGTAACAATACTTAAGTAAGTTTCGCAATTTTTGTGAAATATTTAGGGTGTACAGTACTAATAAAAGTGCTCTTTTTGGTGGTGTTATATTTGTTATTATCGTACTTTTGTTGGTATAACCTGAAATTTTTTATCAATGTTCTTGTTGGGGTGTGTAAGTAAATATGCATCGGTAAAATTTCATGTTCTGTTACTTCTTTAAAAACAAAGCAATTTTGATGATATTTCAGGGACGTACTAATAAAACTATGCTCTTTTTGGTGGTTAATAAAAATGCCGCGTTTTTGACGGTATACCCTGGAACCCCGTTAAAATAAAATCGAGGTTTTGTAAATTAGGTTGGATTTTTGTAAGAACTTAATTACGTACTCGTCAAAATGTCCTTTTTTAGATGTCAAAGTTATACCTTCAGTATTTTTCGGTTAAATTTACCTTGTTGAGAATTTCCAAAAAGTTTGTTGTGTAATTTTCTGGACAGGTATAGTGTAGTGTTAGTTGAATAATATTTTGGTTTATATTGTATCTAATTGTATTATAGAATTGTTAAAAAATGTACCTAGAGTTGGAAATATCCCGCATTACAGTAGAAATGTTTTGTACCTCTCGGAGGAAGGCAGAAGTGCCAATATGTCTACATATACGTATTGCAGCAAGTAGTCGCCGTGCAGTCTGGTAAAGTTTAACAGTATTTGAAGGAATCTTACCGGTTTTTCTAGTGGGATAGTTAATCCAAAATAGGTTACACAGCATTCAGTACACAAAAATCACACAGAACACCCATAAGTGGGTAAGTAACTTGTTTGAAAACGGATTCGACGTGAGAGACGATGCGCTCCGTGCTTCGTTGTACGACTGACTGACTCGAATCTGCCACCCTCTACCTGTAGCAGTTCAGGTGTGGGTCCCGGCCCGGCCAATGAGAGCACGCGGAACTCCATGACACGTGCGATCCCAACACACACAACTCTTTTCTGCTCTACACCTATACCATTTACCCCCTGCACATTGGTGGAAAAAATGCAGCCAGCACTTAATCCAATTATCAGCAAAACATTTTAACACCACCAAAATGCAAATTATCATCCTTTACCTTCGAAACAATTGCCCCTCTTGTTTTTGCTTGTTTGCAAATCATATTTATGATGTTAGCGTTAATCCGATTTTTTACTGTTTTATTTACCTAATTCTTAATCCATTTGACTTTAGTAAGCTTTCTCAGGAAAAATTAATCCTCCTAATAAGTAATAAAAAACAGCCATTATAATTAGAACGCCTAAAATTCAAAAAATATACCTTGTCAATTTGTCTTACATAGCAAACAAACCAATAATATACGAATGTGGCATGGCTTTAAATACACATAGGTATACAAACGGTTCGAGGGCAAATTTCTAGGGTATACCGGCAAAGACGCGGAATTATTATTAATACCACTAAAAAGAGCATACAACTATTGGTATTTCCCCTAAAATCATGAAAATAGCTCTATTTTTAAAAAAGATACAAACCTTGAAATTGCCAACAAGAACTTTGATTAAACTTCCAGGGTATACCAACAAAAATAAGAAAATTTTGATAATACCACCAAAAAGGGAGTACTTGTACTAGTATACCCTACAAATTTCATTATAATCGCGATAATTTTAAGGGAGTTATGTCAAAATTAGAGCTAGGTTACTATAACAAACCCAACGGATTTTTAAGGTATATCGGTAATAATACGATGATTTCATTGACACCCTTGAAAAGAGAGTAATTCTAAAGTAATAATTTAGTTAGAATAGTACTAATTTTCATTAAAAGCGCTTAATTCTTTAAGAAGTTACGAATATTTAAGGTTGATTAAACATATATAGGTTTAAATCTTGACTATTCAAATTCCCTATAACTTACTGCAATTACAATTAAATTTTAGGGGTACCTATCCAAAAAAAAATTACGGCTCTTTTTGACTGTTGACAGTTTTGTTGGTATACCCTAAAAATATTATTAAAACTGTTAGTAATTGTGTGCAATTTAAAATTTCTCAACAGGATTTAAAAGTTCTGTAACTTCTACAAAAATAGAGAAATTTTGGTAAAAATGGTTGTTAAAAATTAATTTTCTTGTGACGCTCCCTAAAAAGCTTCTTTTTGATGAAAAAACAGTGGGATTTTTTTTTTATTTTTTAATTAAAAACAAAACGTGCCTCAAGACGATCAAAGTTAATTTTTTGGTATAATCATGTTTTTTGGGAATTTTTTATAAAAAATAAAATTGTACTCGAAATATAAAAAATTATAGAACCCAAATCAATAAAAAAACAATAGTTAATCGAAATAACAATAGACAAAAATTTAAATTCAAAATTTTTGTTGATTGGTCTATTAAACAAAAACATGAAAGATATTCAAATTGACATTTTTATTTTAAAACTAAATAAGTACAAACGTAATTTCAATATGTAGATTTCTTCACTCCAAGGTGAAGTTATTTCATATTTTCAGAAAAGATATGATTATACCAAAAAATTAACTTAGATCGTCTTGAGGAACGTTTTGTTTCAATTAAAAAAAATAACATAAATTCCTAGTGTTTTTACATCAAAACAAAGCTTTTTAGGGAGCGTCGCAAAAAAATTAATTTTTAACTGTAAAATAAGCTCTTTTTAGTGCTGTTATCAAAATTCTTATACTTTTATCGGTAAACCCTGAAAATCTGAAAATATCGTTGTAAAAGCATAAATGCATTGAGGTAATCTAAAATTTCTGCAACTTCAACAAAAATAAAACAAAGTTGATGCTGTTTTAAGGGTATTCTAATAAAAATACGCTCTTTTTAGTAATGTCAATCAAAAGGTCGTATTTTTGTGATATACTCTGTTAACTCATTACAATAAACCTCCTTAGAAATTATTTACATTTTTGTCAATTTCACAAACATATTTTTTCTGTTTCAGTTAAAATCTATTGAAAACACTAAGGAAATTATCGGATGACCCACCACCTTGACTTCGAATCTCCACACTAATTTTAATCAGGTAAACAAAAGAATTTGTAGGGGCAGGTAAAATATTTGAAATGTCATAGTCGCTTTTGGTTTTGTAGTTTTTATGTGCATTAGTCAAAGGGCCTTAATAATCCTTGGTCCTTAGTCAACGCTAATGATATATTAAGGAGAGGAAAGGCCTGCCAAAGTACATTTTTCACAATGTAAATCGGAAGTATGCATTTCTTATGATTTTCCATTGAAATTTTCCTCTTGACGGTATCCATACTTTGACCTTATGCATATACAAATTGTAAATTGCAAGATTTATTGATTTAATTACTTTATTTGTTCGACTTTAATTACAATTATTTTAATTATTTGTATCAATTAATTCACACGTATGGCGTCAATTTAAATTCCCTGTAGCTACACATATTTAAATTAGCTTGATTAATGACTAACGAACATTTGCAACATACACAGAATTAGTCCTATTTTAGTGATTTTCAAAAAAATATTAATTAAATTCTTTCCTTTTCTCGGAACAACAAAATTAACATATTTTCCATTACATTCAATAAAAGTGGCCCTTAACAAACGTTAATAGTTTCAAGTTACCAAAAAACAATAAAGTATAACTCACCTTATATAAAGAGTAGCATACAGAAATATCAAACAAACAAAAAACATGTAGATTGGAACAAAAGACTCGCAGGTGCCCCCCGTGGAGCTGCGACCCCCCGTCGATATAAATGGCCGGCCCACCACGACAAACAGTGGCGGGCAGATGAAGGGAAAAAGGACCATGTGTAATTTGTGACAACATATTATAAAATGTTACCTTAAAACATCTGGCCACGGAAATTTAAATATCTCTCATATTTTTATTAGTTTTTTCTCATAGAATTTCACTGAGATACCATCTACGGTCATTTATGAACACCGGGAATACAAACAGTCCCAATATAGAACCTTGGGGAACCTCAATTTTTATTTTCAAAATTTGTTTAAAAAATATATTTATAAACTTTATGAGGCCAAAACAGTTTAAAATATATATAGTAAGCTATAAAAATAGTAATTTCTAAGTCCAAAATAGATTCCTTTAGAATGTCTTTAATTTGTAAGCCCAAAACGATCTCAGAAGGGAACCTTGGGGCACCAAAAAGTAAAATCGTCGAAAATCGTATTTTTTTATTTAAAGTTTGTTAGCATAATTTATCTCTCCTATATTTAAATGAATATTTAATTTACGGCTTAAAAAGATTACTTTCACAACACACTATGCTATACACACAACTTTCAACGAATGTGTTCTTATGTAAGAGAATCGACACAAAAATAACCATACGATGTGAAGTGTTATTCAATGTTATTCTGTTGTACCCTTCAAATTGTATTATGTTGTATTTTAATATGTTTTTACAAAGCTTTTTAAGTCTTGTTAATGGACTTCACCTCAAAAACAAGAAGTTACAGAGTTTTCAAATTTTCTAAATGCATTTTAAATTTTGCATTTCAAGTTTTTTGGCAAACATTTAAGGGTATACCAACAAAAATACGAAAATTTCGATAACGATAAAATTACGATAATTTTTTAATACCTTTAGAAAGCGAATACTTTTTTAAGAATACCCTAAAACATCATCAAAATTGCTCAATTTATGTAAACGATACAAAATGATGATCAGTAGATTTCTTACTTTGATTAAAATAAAACATTTAAGGATATATTAAGAAAATATTACTTTTTCAAAAATAAACAGTTATCTTATTTTTGTCGGTGCACCCTTAAAGTACTAAAGGAGGCTTAGTACTTTCTCCCCTTAGATGACTATCTATAAAAAATAATATCCTCGTTAAAAAACAATTACATCCTTTTGGGAAAAAAAGTTTATGTTAACGAGTTAGCGGTAAAAATTTGGCAAATTGCCTTTGTTATAGAACGATACTTTAATGTTTTTTCGATTTCGATTTATGTTTTAATACTTACAGGTAGTTATTATTATAAAGCAATCGTTTCCGAGAGTAAGAAAGCTAAGATAAATAAGTTTTTAATGCGAACGAGGCAAGGAAATGCAATTTGCTTGTGTGATGGTGGTAGCACTGGAAAACAATAGAACCATCGCGATAAGACCGTGAAATTCGATATTTTAATTAATTTTAAGCTGTATAAACTTGATTTATAGGTACAGGTTTATATATGTAGAATACGTAACCGTTATATGTTGACATTTTTCCTCTTGCTCTGTAACTTCTACAAGTGTTAAGATGATGAAATTTTCAGGGTATACTAACAAAAGCATGCGTTTTTTGATTATTGCTAAAATCCAATATATACTCTCTAAAAATAAATTAGTCAAAAATGACTAATTTAATAGTTATTAGTGCCATGGCTGCGTTTTCACTTGTACCATGGTTAACAATGGAATACCATGGTATCCCAAAATTTTACAGCCAATTCTTACGTAAAATTGTCCCCTGAATGCTAAAATTTGGTCAAAAGTTTAAAAAGTTAACAGTTTATGAGATATAGTAAATTTTCCATTTAATATGGAATTGGCTATATCTCAAAAACTGCTCCACTTTCATAATTGTTGACGGTATTTTCGGATTTAGGGGACAATTTTACATAAGAATTGGACGTTTAATTTTGGGAAACCATGGTTAACCATGTTAGAAGTGAAAAAGTTGCCACTTACCTTTTCAATTTTAGTAGCATAGCTTTAAATTGTAAGAGAAAATTATTCAAAATATAGCCTTTTCTAATTTTGTATTTCCAGACAAAAACCCGACTAATATGATGGCGATATTTTCATTGATATACCTTAAAAATTTCGACGACTAAAAAATAGTTTTAAATCTCGACGATTTAAAAGTTCTACAAAATGATTGCGGG